CGACACCTTTAGATAGTTTATGACGGTCCCTCGATCTCTGCCGGTTCCTGCGCGCGGCTATTATCTTACAGCCTATCCACGACCTCGTGGCCGCCAGGGAGAAGCGGAGCACGACTCTCTATCGATATTAATCCCCCTTGTCTATCTTCACCACTAATTGGGTCGCTATCTGTCGAGGGTAATCGAACACGTCGAACCGGACCTCGAGTAAACACACGTGGCATTTTGCTCCTCTTTCGCCGCGCTATAAATCTAAAGCAGGATTTAAGAGGAGAGACCGTCCGTCATGACGCGCTCGTTACACGATTTAAGGATTGCGCGCGAGAGAGAGAGAGAGAGAGAGAGAGCGAAACGTTCGTCGGAAAGCTCAAATCGAGATCTTGAGTCGAGAGGAACAACCCGCGCCCGAGGTGGACGAAAATTGAACAACCGTGTGCGAGAATAAGTTATCCGAGTGATTACATTTTACATGCGGATGAAGCGACGGATGATAACCACTGGCCCGCATCCTCTCTCGAGGAGGCGTGCATTGTGTCAGACGTTGTACTTGTAAATTTTGGCCACGCGGCTTATATCCCTCGATTTGCAAGACGTCGGGGAGAAAATTGAATCCGGCTTGAAGGAGAAACAAACGGCTGGAAGAACCGGCGGTTGATTTAATATGGCCGTCCGTCAAGGCGCGTACGCGTCACGTTTGGTTCACGTAAGACGGATCTCTGCTCTCTCTCTCTCTCTCTCTCTCTCTTCCTTCTCTTTCTCTCTCTCTCTCTCTCTCCCCCCTCCCTCTCTCTCTCTCTCTCTCTCTCTCTCTCTCTCTCTCTCTTCCCACCTCGAAATCTGTCTAGTCGCGTGGCACGACGCGGGCGTTACCCACGTCGTACCTTTCAAAGATCCTATCGCTGTCTGCTGACGTTCCTTCGCTCGGTTTGCTAAGCTGAACTAACCATTTCGACGGAAAAAAGTCCGCGAAGACTGACTCAGTCAGTCGGATGAGAATTGGATTAATTACGGCGTGACTGCATTTGCGAAATGCACACCGTAGAAGTTGCCTGGCATAAATTAACTCGGGCTCCGAAAACTTCTTTTTTACGAGGTGGATGAGGTGAGATAGGAAATTATTTCGCTCGTCGATTTAAGGATCGAGAACGCGGTCACGAATCGTGAAGGTAAAGAGAAATCTTTCAACTTTAAACAATATCGTCGAAATTGTCCATTTCAAGTTTGACTCTTCCCCGTTACACGATGTTACGCGACGCTGGAGATCGGTCTTGAGTCGTGAGGAGCGAGAAACTTCCAACTTTGCTGTCGCAAGACAGAAAATGTTCACTTTTCGCGAATCCGCACCAGAGGACTCGCATGTACACGGTCGATTCTGTGCGCGTTTCATGCGCTAAGAGCGACATCGCGCTGAAACCCTCGACCCGGCCCGCGAGCGCTCCAAAGCGCTCCAAAGCGGCGCGTTACACGTGTAATTGACCAAACTTTCGAGGCAGGTGGTGTGTGCTATGTGTGTAAGTATGGTGTAGCTGCGAAAATAACGGAGATAAATCACCGCTTTCGTTAGCGGGAATTTTCCGGAATCCATTCGTCCGGTACCCATGTCAGGGCAGACCCCGCTGCGATTGACGACGACAACGACGACGACGACGACGACGACGACGACGACGACGGTGGTGGTGTCATGTTCGCGCGGGTGACCTCATGCCGCGCGGTCCCTCTCGCTCCTCGGCAACCGGACAACACGTGGTGCGCCCACACAGCGTCCTGCGAGCGCGCATCTGCACACCTCATTGAACATTCCGCGCGCGAAACATTGCTCGCCCCGCGCAATCCCGAGAGCTAGAGCGTATAAACGCCATCGGCAGATATTTACGAGGCCAATTCGGGAAACCGCGCGTGCGCTCGTCGTCGATTCTTATCGTTCGTTCGACACGCGCTATGCCGTGGCGCGCGATACGTGCTTATCCCTTAATTAAATTTATCGGTTTCGCGGAACCGCGGCGGCGCTTGTACGCACGCGCACGCGCACGTGGGATACGGCTCGTTGTAAATCTCGATGCCGCCCCCCCCCCCCCTACCCGTCATTGTGCCTGGCCGTTGCTCGGACCTTATAGCGCATTGTTTGCAAATAAAATCCGAACGCGAATTAAACTCGCCGACAACGCCGCGGTAAACTCGTATCAGATTGCACTCGTCGTGAAGCGAAATAATCGTCCCGGCGCGCGCAACGTTCCGTCGAGATGTATTTTGTTCCGCGAGAGATCGACAAATTATAAATATTTCAATGAGATCCAGCTGACGTCAGAACGTCCGGTCAATGGGTTCGGGTCACGCCGCCGCGTTATTATTATTATTTGACGGATTTATCGGCGGGAGTTTTCGTGATCCCACGGCACGGTAGGGAGAGAGAGAGAGAGAGAGAGAGAGAGAGAGAGAGAGAGAGAGAGAGAGAGAGAGAGAGAGAGAGAGAGAGAGAGAGAGAGAGAGAGAGAGAGAGAGAGAGAGAGAGAGAAAGAGTCGCCGCCGCGATCGTCGTCGGGGCGGCGCCTTTGATGCGTGGGCGTGGGCCGCGCAAATCGAATCGGCTCAGATCTCATCATATCCCCGTTGTAATCACGACTATTCCCCGCCGCGTCTGATTATAATTTATGCCTCTCGTGTTCGCAGCCGCATCGCATCCCGTCGCGTCGCGCTTCCGTCCTTCGCGGGTTTCGTTCCTGCGGTTTTCCGCAGCGCCGGGGCGACTAGATTACACGGTGACGTACTGCCCCGCCGCAATTTGCGCCTCCTGTCAAGCACGATGGACGAAACGAGCCTCGTCTCTCTTCCACGCACATGCCACGAAGGGACGCGATGAATCGTCGTGAACGCGCGGTGCGTTCGTGAGGAACGCACCGCGACTCGTTTTGAATTGCTATTGCCAGCCGCTTCGTCGTCATCGTCGCCGCCGCCACCGCTGTCTCATCGTTTTTAATACGCGGCCGTGCTGTTGTTACGTGTCTGATTGAAGCCGGTGCGCGCGTGTTGTGCCGCTTAACGAAAGATATTTTATCCCTAATAAAATCTGTCGCCGAGAGGGTAGCGAGATTCACCGGCGGAAGCCGGTGTACAAACGGACTTAATTTCCTGGCGCTATTCTACCGACTCTCGCAATCATCGTAGCTCTTTGCGCGCGTTCGCGACTCTGATTATAATTTATTCGTGTCCTACCGCCGAGTTCCCCCCCCCCCTCTCTCTCTCTCTCTCTCTCTCTCTCTCTCTCTCTCTCGCCCTCTTTCCCTCCTCTCCAGCTGTCAGCGGAATCGCTTTTGTCCCCCGAGGCGTGCACCACGCCGAGGATTACCGCGCCGATATGCCGCGACCATAATTTCTCTCTATGCAACCAAATATAGTAACAACGATACCTGTCGAGGCGTCACTTTTAGCTTTCGGTTCTGATACGCGAGAGAGGTATGATCTGCTCTCTCCTTTTTCTCTCTCTCTCTCTCTCTCTCTCTCTCTCTCTGTGCCTCTTTCTCTCTCTGTCTCTCTCTGCTCCGCACGCATCTCGAGAAGGGGTTCGAGGGGGCGAGTGATCGTTGCCGAAAATCAGATCGGTTGCTTGCGCCAAGCCCCTGCCCCCTTGCTCGTCCACGCGCGCGCACACGTACGCGCCACACGCATGTGAATATTTTTCGTCGACACGCCGCGGGCATGTTTTCTCAGCTGGTGATCCCCTAACTCTCCACGACCGCCCCCCCCCTCCCCTCCATCGTTGTTCCCCCCGCGTCACCCCCGCGAGCAGATCTCGGGAGATCCTTTCAGGACACGGTCGGCTACCCACAAAGGATCAGGCCTTTCATACTCACGTTATTATACTCTTTACACAATATCGTTCCAGCTCGCCCCCACCGAGTCGTCGTCGGACGGGCTCGGGGGACGGGGGCCGGGGGCCGGGGAAGAAATACGCGCGTTGCCATGCGCCTTGGTACTGTATACCTATACACCTACGCCCACGCATTGTAAACCGGGACCATAGAGACAGTGAGATACGTCGGCCGAGCCGACGAAAGCCCCGAGATTTTCTCGTTTAATTTGTTGTTATAGCTGCTTGAGACGCGGATCGGGCCATTCGTCCATCCGCGGGATATCCCCGCAAACATTCATTATATTTTCTTTTTTTCTTCTTCCTTTCTCTGCTTCTCTTTTTTTTTTTTCTCCTCGTGTGACGGCGCGTACACCCGCGCCGTCGCCACGCCGGCGCGCGTCAGGCTGCGGCGGCGGCGGCGGCGGTGGCCCGTCTTCGCGCTCGCTCGCTCGCTCGCTCGCTCGCAAGAAGGTCTATATTTGTTCCGTATCCCAAGAGAGCGGTCTCTATTAATCGAGAGCGGATCGCGCACGAGAGCAAGCAAGCAGGCAGCAGGTGGCGTGCAGAACAGTGCTCGATATATCCCTCGGATATATTTTCGCTTTCCTCGAGCCACGCGCGTATGTTAGATCGTATCGCGCGCGCGCGCGGTCTTCTATCTTACGACATTCCGCTCGTTGTATAACTAATAACCGTGGCCGCGCGGGATCGGGATCGCGCGATCGCCGCTCGATACATCACGACGACGTTGAGTAACACGCAGATATTACGGCTCGATCATCCGTGGTCGTTTGATCATAGTAATAAGATTTATGGCGATCGCACGGCCGCTCGTCGCTCCAACGATCGATTGAATTCGCCCGGCGGACGATCGTATCGCGGATACGCGGCCGCTGATGCGATTAGGATACGGCATTATCGCGCTCCATTAGCGATTGTTTGCGCAGGAAACGAACGAGTCAATCGCCTAGGTCCGATGAATCGTGAAAGCCGTGTGCGCGCGCGCGCGCGCGCTCGAGCTCGAGCTCTCGTTACCCTACCTTCCTCGGTCTCTCGAAAACTCAGCGGAGCGTTTTCTCTCGTGGATCGCACGGCGACGGATGCGATCTTTTCTGTCTGATCGGGCGCGTTTGCCTGTCCGCCGCACCCGGGATGATGCACTTTTCGGTTCTTAGCTGGGACAGCAGCTCTTGACGATGTAACTCGGGAAGGATTCCGGCGGGTTCGCTTGTCGCGGCGAGTTATCTCTAAGAGGTATACACGACAAAACGTGGCTCGTGACCGACGTTGTTGAGTACACAAATTACGCAAACGACGACTCCCGTGAGGGGTGGGAATCAAAATCGTCCGAGGCGATCCGTGAACGTGCTGAGAAACGCCCGTCTGGCCTCTCTAGACGGAAACACCGGTCCTATACATTCCAACAACAGCGGATTTCTGTCTTTTACGGTCGTGTGAAATTCTTCCTCGGTTATCCCACCGTCGCGGTCAACGTCGATCTTCTTCATCAGCAAATCAATCAGATCCTGTAACGTGACAACGTGACCGATATTACTCTACCGCTCTCGTAAATTGTCCGCCTGCAGAACTTTGTTCTGAAATCCGAATTTTTGCGTCGTCAACATCTTTAATTAACCTTCATGCTCTCGTCGGAATCTTCGTCTGTCTGTAGTTTGATTAGACAGCCTCGCATTGACGGGAATATGTGCTCCTTCTTCAATTTGTTGGTGTGCATAAAATCGTAGATCTGCTTCCCGTAAGTGTGATTAATAATTAACGACTATTTTCAGTGTGTGAATTGAGACTTTTCTATCTACTGGATGAGACAGAGCGGTTTTAATTTTGGAGAATTTTGAAGAAACTTAGGAGAATATTAAGAAATCCAAGAAACATAGGTAAATTAGACAAATTAGACAGTCAGAGAAGCGTGAAGATTATTACGGTATAGGCGAAATGTATCCTCTCGGACAAAGTGCCACGAAGAATTATAGAGAGCCCTTCGATCCATTGTTCCAGATTAATCTACACGCTCACATTGTCATGATTAATCACCGTTCAAAATAATAGTTGTTACAAATGTCGCATTAATGTTGTTCATACTTGCAAAATGTTCTTCTTGTCTAATGCGGAGAAAAGTCTGTCGATGAACAAATGCCGAATGTTTTCGGTATAATCAAAACTAGAGTGCCAAATATCTCTAAACACTGATCTCGTTATAGGGCCCAAAGTTTGCGTTATCTTTCTGTGTATCACGGCTAACGCTACGATAAGATTGATTGGTGTTATTATCAGGACGGATATATAGAATCACTAACTGGTATCAATTTCTTGGTATCAATGAAACTAATTAACGAAAGTTTCATCAAGCTGGATAACCTTCGATTTCCTTGAAGTTGAAATGAGTCTTCCGTACTAGTTTCTTGAATAAGGCGTTATTTTTTCTTCTAAAAACCGTCTCCGGTAATGGGTTGCTTAGGGTATCAATGGGCAACTCGCTTGGCATTTTTGCTCTTGTAAATTTATTTCGTATTTGTAAATTTGTTCTCTAATTAATTTGCATGATCGAAAATATGTCAACGTCACCGAGATAATAAAGATGACAGTCAATCAATGACATTATCGGCTCTCTTCACGCAGCTATCTCAACGAAGTGAAAATTTTTTATTTTTTGCATTCTTTATCTTTTTTATTTTATGATTGTTAATTTAATCTTTGTTTTTCTTCTTTAAATAAATACAAAGTATCTGAATGAAAATTGTTAAGATCTCAATGTAAACCAATATCATGGTAGTAAAGCTAAGAGAGTGTATTAAGAGAGCTGCTAGCGTCAGGCCCATTAGCTCAGTTGGTTAGAGCGTCGTGCTAATAACGCGAAGGTCGCGGGTTCGATCCCCTCATGGGCCAGCTTTTTTTTTTTTTTATTTTCTTCTTAGTATTTTATTTTTCTCACAATATCTCTATATCCTTATACATCCACATACAAAGCACGAATCTAAACAAATCGATATTTTCACGTTAATAACTGAGAAAACATTTCCTGCATCTTTTATGTATTCAACAGAGCGCACAGAGTGGTTTCGAGACAATCTTTACTAACGTTCAAAATAGAGATAAAAGAATTATCTGAAGGAAAATATTCTTCAGCGATAATTCGTACATTATCATAAAATATACAAAATATTACAATTTTTCATTGGTTGTGTATTCACCTTCTCGAGACGTTCTCATCCGTAATAGAAGCTCGAGCGGCCAGCTGTCAGTTCTCCGTGTCCTAAAATCCACGGCTCAGCGTGGATACCTGAACTGGTTTTGTCGCCTTGGAGGCGCGTAACGCACAAAGGTTTATCGTAAAAGATACGCGTGTCTTATGTGGAAAGCTGCCACGAAACGTCCGGCAATATAAAGGCAGTAAAAAAGCCTAGCTGGTTCTCACGTGGTTCTCCCCCTTTCCTCTTCTCTCTCTCTCTCTCTCTCTCTCTCTCTCTCTCTCCATCTCTCTTTTTCTCTTTAAAGAAGTAAAAAAGCATCGGACAAGATAGGGCCACCTATCCGAGGGACGTGAGCGAGACGACGAACGAATTTCGGTCCGATAACCGATGAGTCGTGAACGCTCGGCACGAATTCGTTTCACGGAAGCCGCTCAACCGGCATAAAAGACGACGATAAAGCCCCGCCTAAGTATATCTAATGACATCATTTGGCTGGCAAACGTAATAAACTGGCACAAAGCCACGGGGATTTCGTCGAGAATGTAAAAACGCGGGAACGGCTTAAGACCAGCGAGAAAGGGTAAGTCCGTATGGGCGGCTCTCTCTCGCGCATGTTTTGCGGCTCGCGAGAGGACATGGCAAGATCGAGCGGGAGGTTGCGGGGAGGACGAAGAGACGCCTGGAATTTCGTGCGAGACCACAGTCCCCGGCGAACAAAAAGGAAAAGTATAACCCACCTCCAATCCTTTCTGCTGCCACACGTGAACGCTCGCGTCGTTTTAAGAGAAATACGAGAGATCAGGAGAGGTCGAGGGAAAGAAAGAAAGAGATAGAGATAGAGAGGCCAATGGCGCGCGCGCGCGTTTCAGGCCGCATTGTTTGATCGGCCGGGAGCAAATCCCATTGGCAAACGCGGAATACGGCTGATCCTCTCGAGATCATCGAGCCTTACTTCGTAAATAATGGCTGGAGATTTGTGCGCGAGGTCGTGCGCGTAATACGTTGAATTTTCTTAATCTTCCCGGGTGGTAGGTAAGAATGAACGACTTCGCGCAAGGACACGGGAGGCGATCGTTCGTGTGGGACTCTCTGCCGCGCGAAGAAGGAGAGGATAATATTCCGCAAGTGTCGTGAGCGCTTTAGGGGAAAGTCACGTCAGCGGTCGTACGGTAAGAGAGAGAGAGAGAGAGAGAGAGAGAGAGAGAGATAGGCCTTTGTTTCGGAAACACGTGGTGGCAGCGATTACTCGAAAAATTCCCCCGAGAACCCACCGCACGTCGCATCGCGTTGAGAATCCGATCATGTTCTATCGTGCGCTTTCCACGCGTCATCATTCGCATATCCCGCGAAGCCGCGAGAAATCCCACCATCGGTCGTATGAAATCCGCTCACGAAACAGTCGGTCGGTCGGTCGGTCGGTCGGTCGATACACTTCTCGCGTATTTATCCTGGGCTCGAAACGAAGTCGAGATATATCACCGGCGCGAACCGTCGCGCGCATATCCGCGAGAACGCCTCTTTTTACCCCCGGTCCCTATAATCACAAGCTCATTAGTCCCCGCCGGCGGATAATTTACGAGCTGGCATTGCTCGCGCGGCCGATCGCCGAGGGACCACATTGTTTCGCTTAAGTAGGCAACGAGCCCGCAAGAGCGGCGGAGGATCGCTTTCGCGAACGGCGCCCGTAATATCCCGGTCAGGAGAGAAGATGAAGGGCGAGGAGAGGCGGCCCCCCGCCCCCCCCTCCCCCTCCCTCTTTCCATCCCTCGTATTCCTGCAGTGCAGTCGAGCTTGGAACGACTGTAATCTTGGGCTATCTAACGTTGTAAATGTAGCGAGGTGATGATTTGCGACCTCCCTGCAGCTCTGTGGGGAGGATTGGCGTGTAGGGGTACACTCGGACCTTTAGATTCAATTTCGCGGGGCGTCAGCCGCTGACGCGACGTCCGCCCACCTTCCGCGAGACGTTGATGTACGACACGGTAGACCGCGGTAGATTTTCTCTCCCTTTCTCTCCCGCTGTCTCTCTCTCTCCCCCCTCTCTCTCTCTCTCTCTCTCTCTCTCTCTCTCTCTCTCTCTCTCTCTCGCCTGGGCTTCTCTGCAGATTTTCAAATACCGAATCGGCCGCGGTGTAAAATAGCGAAATGATAGAATTGCCTTGGCACGCGGGCTTGGCGAGCCGTGCGATGATAAAAAGCCTCTCATTTCGTAAAGTGTCTCGGGAAATACTCGTTCGGGTCGTACAAATTGGCTAAAGCCAAAGAATGTCTCTTGATAATATCTTTTTTATTCGTCTCTCTCTCTCTCTGTGACAAAGTACAAATGTCATTTCAATAAGATCTATTATTTTATAAGAGAAATATGAAATTTTATTGCATTGGATTTTAATTTTACAAGAAGGGATGAAATATACGTCTAGCCGAAATTGATGGGAACGTAAAGTTGAGAGATCCGATGACCCTCTCGCGGATCGACATCGTTGAGTGGGTCTGGGAGAGATCTACCCGAGCTAGTCAAACACGTTATGCAAGCGTCGGACACGACAAGTAGCGTATCTGTCATCCGATGTGTACGTAAGCGTGTTAATATATATATATATATATATATATTCACATGTATATAAAACGTGACATTAAAATCTCAGAGTCATAAGGCGCGTAATTTAATTTACGAAATTTCTCCTTTTGTTCTCTCTCTCTCTCTCTCTCTCTCTCTCTCTCTCTTTCTCTCTACAAGCTGAAAGATATTCCAGGAAAAATTTATATCTGTCAGATCATAAATAATTTAACCAATGTATAAATATTAACGTTGGTAGTGCTAGAAATACTATATACTATTAGTATGATACTAAAGTTACAAAATATTAACATTAATAATTTTTAGTATACATTATGAAGAACAAACACACACGTTGTTGAATTCTTCGATAATATTGTATGAGTATTCTCGTACAAGTCTCTCTCGTCAGTGTGCAAACAAACTCACATTAGAGCAAACACTGGTACTGTGTTGCGGTATCAACGCTGTTCATTTAATCCGAATTAAGCCAAAGTCTCTCACGGTCTCTACGGAGCATCCAACGTGCCACGAACTCAACACGAGCTCTCTCGGCTCTTTCATGCTCCACGAGCGCGGGAGACTGGCGATATTCATAGTCGTCGGCGCGAACGAGCTCTCCTCCGCGTCATTTACAAACGGCAAGTGGTCCATCATAAATTTAGCGCGCTATCGCCGACTGCGATCGTATTTATCTAACAAATAATTATTCCCGATTATCTCGCGGGTGATGTATGCCTCGGCAAACAGAGATCAAAGATACGGCACCCGACATCCCATGGGCCTTTGTTTAACGTTTAACCAGCCGAAAGGTACCGGTCAACAATTTCGTTTTATTTACGACGTGGTGGTGCTGGCGATGGCGGTGATGGTGGTGGTGGCGGCGGCGGCGGCGGTGGTTAGCGGAGCCGGGCCATAAGGAGCTCAGTTCGAGAGCGACGAGAGAGAGAGAGAGAGAGACAGAGAGAGAGAGAGAGAGAGAGAGAGAGAGCGAGAGAGAGAGAGAGAGAGAGCGTGGGTGCAAGGGTTGAGCGCCTATTACCTTGGCTTGCCTTGGGGGGTAGCCTATCCCCGTGTCTGCCGCAATCAAATTTTTAAGTTATTGCCACGTGACTCCACGTGGGCCAGCTCGCAGCAGGCCCGAACTATGGAAGCCCCGAGGAACGAGTTATCTTGAGATACTTTGTGTCACAGATTATTCTCATGCACGTGTTGGCTTTGATGATACGCGACCAGTGAAGTATCGGGAAGGTCGCGCGGAGTAAAATGCAAAACTTGGGTCCAACTTTTATTATATTTTAGATTTATGCAATTTCGCGATTACAATGGCACATTCGGCCTGCCCGATATTCGCAAGTCGATTATGCAGTTTCTCCAGAAATTTGCTCTTGGATAATGATAACGCAGGATTATGAACTTGTTTTCTCACTTCTTTACGCTATATATATATATATATATATTCGTCATTTAATACGTTTCTCCGCTGGTTGACCGTGTTCGAGGTGTAATTATGGGTAGAACCGGCCGCGACAGGACGATGGATTTACCGCTATTTCTCGAGAAGAAAACGAAACGGACTGCCATAAAACTTGCTCGAGCGATCGAACACTGTGGCTGTAGAGGTGCGTATGCCGGTTTTTGCCGACTGCGATGATGACGTGGGGTTTAACGTCTCGTGGACACAGAATCGTTATGTAACAACATCGGAGTGAGTTGTACGACAAATGTCGAAGGAAG